TTTAGCCGTGGTAGAGCGAGGCTACAGTTTCAAAGCCTTGGCGTTCGTGGTTCATTGATTGATTGCGTGGACACTGAACATTGAGAAAGTTACTCGACAGGATAGGGCCTAGTTTGCGGTGCCGGGAAAATGGCAGATTGTCGTTCTTGTTCCGGGTTCCTGGGACAGGGAATGTTGCCAAATGTTAGCGTTTCAGCGCTCCCTCTCCTCTCTTCTCTCTCCTGGCTCAGGCTCGTTACAAAGTACTTGTCCCTTGCTTTTGGGGTCTCGCCTCGTCTCGTCTCTTCCCCTGCCTTGTCCCATTTATGCCTCCGGAACAGAAGCCGACCTATTATGAGCAATCCCAAGGGTGCCCCAACCGTGCGAGATGCCTAGGGTGCAGTAGTATTGGCTGGCGTGACCTGTCCATCTGTGTCCGTGCCACCTTTTGACGGGCCGACCAGGTACATCCATCCATCTCAATCATCTTCAGGCCAGGACTGCTCCTTCGCACGGGCGGGATCGTACTGCAGCGGAGACTAGGAACTGGCGGGTACTGACACTAATGACGGGACGGAGTCGGAATCACGGAACGCTCACAATGATCCTGATGTTGCTGCACCTAACAGAAATAGCGTCTTATTGTCTCTGCTCGCGATAACCAATTAGGCATCCAAGACCGTAATGGCTGCAGCAAACAGTGGTTTCAAAGAACAGTATCCGTTCGGTCACTCGGCTTCCGCGGAGGATTAGGGAAAATTCATGACGAGCAGCAACGCCTCACGTTTTACAATGGAAAGCTTCACAATAGAAAGGCGAGACAAACCAGACAACGCAAGAAAAGAGAGCGGTGATTCAAGCGAGCAGCGCATTCCTCTGGCAAAGAGCTAACCCGTAACTCGGCAAAACGAGACATTGCCGGGCTCGTAAGATGTTTGGGTTAGGGTTCGGCGAACTCACATGCCGATCAGGGACCGTCTGACAACCACGTCAATTCAAATGAAGAAACGTTGACAACCCTTCAGGGAGCAAGAAAACTTTGTGACGTTTACTAAGAGTGCCAAAATAATCTAGTCTTGAGCCACAATAGAACATACCAAGTTTACCTAAGTCTTTTTGTCACTTAGTTAAGTGGTCTTAAGTTTTTCTTGCCTCCACCTGACAAGACAACTCATTTCAAACAGTTCAAGGGCTGAGCGGGAGCTGGGGAAAAGCAAATAGCCTCTGTTCTGAATTTACTTACTGTACGGTTAGACCCTCCAGCCGGCTAATGTTGAACCGTCTGTTCGTAACCGTACTGTATCGTCTCTAAACCAATAGAATTCTCGACTGATCATCACGAAGTATCCTCGTGAACAACCCCCAAACTCGGGATGAGACAAACCAGAAATCAGATGCATCGGAAAGACAATGAAAGACAAAACGGGACAAGGATCAAAACTCGCTACCGTACCTAGGTTCAGGTAAACCCGCTGATGCCTCACTCTGCTGGGGTCTTCTGCTCTGGTGACTGGTGCGCCTTACTCGCTTCTCTTCTTGGCAGACCATACTTTTGGGAAAGGCAAGGGGAAAATCAGTGGGTGATCATTTTAGCAGAGCTCCGTCGGTACCTACACTGCTACAGTACAGCACAGTCACCCACCTACATACACCGACACCGTTGCGACTAAATTAGGCCATGGCAAGCCGCAAGCCCAGGCTGGGCGTCTCCAGGTCATGTCTCCAGCAGTTTCTCAATGATGACACGGATCCGCTCTGGCGTTTTTGGTAAATGGAATTACGGACCTGCACTAGAGGATGTACCTACAGCTGATGGCTGAGGCTGCAGTAGACTGGCCCAGCCCAGCCCAGCCTAAAACAACAAGTTAAACCTGAAAGGAGTAGACTTTACGAGCCAAGGGGTCGGAAGAGAAAAAGCAAGCAGCCAGAAACAAAGATATTAAAAGCATCCTCTATTCCCCCGTTTCTCAAACGCGCTGATCTCTCTCTTTCACGATCGCCAACCAATCCGCGAAGTTCCGAAACTGAGAATACAATTACCACCTATTACAGTACCTTTACAGTACAAGCACGGGCTTCGGGCTACCTCACCTCTTCCACCAAAATAGCCGCGGATCCTCATCACATTTACCTACACCCCCCGGTCCTAGGCTAGTCAGCTCAACACAACAAAAGACAAACAAAAAGGACCAGGAACAAGGCCCAGGGTGTTATTCATTTCGATCCAATCCAGTTCTTCATATATCCATCTGCCAGCACCCCTACCACTTCAACTTTTCCCATCTTGCTCTTCCCTTCAAGACATTCTGCTATCCAGCTGTATCTGTCAAGAGCAGCACCAAATCCAAAAGCTTCGACGAGCTGGTCTCTTGAAACGTCTAACAAGCTTGGGTCGTGTTTGTGCTCTCACCTTGCATACACGCATGCATAAACATCCTTTAATAGCAACAACCTGACACGCATATTGTCTTGTTTGCTTCCCCGTCGACCAACAACCCATTCTTGCCCCTCCAGCTCATCATCCGACCTGCCTCAGCCATATATACCGATACAGCACCTCGACAACGTTTACTATACCTCCCTACATTAGTCAACACCAACTCACAACTCCGCAACGATGCTCCGAGGAACCACCTCCAACGTCCCCAAGGTCCCACTCTTTGGTGTACCCAAGAGACGCAAGCAGAGGCAGCAACAAGAACAGGAGCAAAAGGACAAAGAAGAGCAGCTTCGCCTACAGGCTCTTGAGGAAGCTGAATTCGCAACCAAGGCCGAAACTTCAGACTTCCTCCTCTACTACCTTGAGCGATCCCCCTTCAGGGACCAATCCGATCAGATCTCCATTGCCTGGGAGAACCTACCTAGCCTAGGCGAGCTCGAGTCTTTTGCCAGGCTCGACAAGACTGCTGGCACACAAGCCTGCCGTCGTTTATTCAAGGCCGTCGTCATCTGGGACGATCTTGGTCTTGATCTCTGGGAGACCCTTAACAGTACCTTCCACCCTGAAAGCGACGAGGAGGACAGCGACGATGATCTCCTCGACGAAATCTCAGAAGAGCCTGTTGGCTGGGATCATGCAAGCCCTCGAAGATCCCGATCTCGCGCCAGTTCCAGGACATCTTCCTCTGAGACACATAATTCCGAACGCTCTCGCCAAGTCTCCTCGGAGCGACACAATCAGCGTGAGCATAGCCGCGACTCGCGCAAGACAGCTTCCGCACGAGACCAGAGTGTCAACGGAAGACTACCTCCCCGAAGACCCATGGGTCTCCAGGGCGGTATGATCAGCGAGTACTACGACAGCCCCTCACGGTATCGTGTTCCCAAGATTGTGCGCGTCCTATAAGCGCTTACACATTACCACTCTACGAATATTTCTTTTTGTGTTTGATATTATACTGTTTTTTTTTTGTTTTTGTAAGCGGGAGTTGGGACACTAGCCAAGTTCGCAGCAACCGCCATACTAGCCACATAATGGTTTCTTATGTTTTCTGAGTATTAGCAAGGCGTTATGGACATTTATGCAATGGCACCGGACAATTACGGATTACGGGATACCACCAATATCACAGCTGAGGGATAACAGCTACCATATTATTACTATAGTACAGCAACGAACAATCTACCAAATAATTTTGATACATACCTTACACAGCCATGCAATTCTTGAGTGATCGACGTGAAAATTTGGATGGCTCCTCTTGATGCAACCTTCAAAGTTTGGAGGTCTGTAACGACCATAAACACTACCAAGGAAAACACCTTGTCTTGAAGCTAGATCGTCGCTATTCTGACATCACCCAAGATCCGTCGTCGCAACATCGAGATATGATCGGATTGAAGGGAAAAGTCGACGTCATGGTGGAGGGAAAATTAACTGCCGCGATCTTAAGAGCCGGAGAACCTGGAAAGTTACGTACCCGGCCAACAAGACAAGACCTGGCCAGACTCATGTCCGGGTAACTCTATCGAGACCGCAAAGCAATTTCTTCACCACATCAGTTGATCGCCTTCTTTTCCATCACCCGTTCGTCAACTGATCACCATACTCACAGTATGCGCTGTCGTATCGCCTGCTCTCGTCGCTGACTCGTCTCACGTCGTGAGTGATTCAATCCTTGGCATTGTCTTAAGTTACTGAGCGTGGAGGTCATTTCAGGAGAGCCAATGGTTCGAGGTGTACTCCGTACTTCAGTCACTATCCGTGTGGCGCCGGGGCTAGCTCAATCAGGAGTATGCACCCACCGGCTGGGATGGCTGGATGGGTAAAGTCTTCATTCCCAATTCAGGTATCGCTTTGACCTCCACTGAGGACCAGTTGAGACGAACGAGTGTTTTGGTCATCGAAACACCCTCTGGAAATAACATGTGAGACCTGAATCAACTAGGTACATATGAAACTTGAGATCTTGATGAAAGGATAATTCCGTCTCCATCTAGTTTTGGTTTCAGTATATAACTTGGTGAGACTCAACATCTCTATTCAAGGGAAATTAAATCGTTTGTCTGTTGCTCTGGTCGAACAAAACGCATGCAGCCCAGGGGCGCTAAGAAAAGCCCACGTCTTGTGATGATTGAGTCGACGACCTCTTCAGCACGCACCCTCAACTCTGAAACACTTCGTTTATACGGAGTAAACTCTCAGCAGCTGTCTCACCTGAGTAGTTTTCTCTTTAAGCATGAGATAACTCTATTCTCTGCTTAGATGCAGGGCCTGACTCACTCTACTCTTGGGTGGTGGGATGAAATGCAGCTGATGGTGTGCTGTACAAGCTACACAAGTTATCTCATCTAGCCTCAGGGGTCCTGGCCCAATTTGTATCTAGACTCGAGAGGCGCTGTTTGAGGCTTCACACCAGGAGAATAGGGCATTTTACAGGATAGCCTGGCTGCTGGCAAGATGAAGAGCTCCTTTTCGAGACGGAATGTTCCGGCTGCATTGTGCGCAGCTGAGTGTGAGGATCTTTGTTTCATTTTTTTCTGTGCTTTTTGGTGTTTTTATTATGGTGTTAGTCCACACAATGAAGCACTTATACGGCCTCTCGTGTATCGGCCTGTTGGGCTTGGCTGCCCTGACTACCGGAAAAGATGTCTCCTACGTGACTGACCTCGAGATCTTTACCTACTTGGTACGGCACCTGGGAAGAGCATCAGTGCGATACTGACCGTTTAGGCGCCATGTGTTTCCAGCGCAATCTCATACAATGTCGGCATGCAGACATACTCGACCATGTGCGGCGACTCAGAAACCGAGTTGCAGAAATGCATCTGCTCGACTCGAATGGACGAAGTTGCCTCATCGATCTCGACCGATATAGAATACAGCTGCGGTTCCAGCGCGACGGAGGATCTGTCAAGTGCGTCTAAGCTGATGCAGAAGTACTGCAACCAGGAGGAACACATCACTTTCTTTTCGCCAACCAAGAATATCGTCGAGGCATATATAACAGATCTTCCCGAGTTGGCATATCTCCCGCCTTGCGCGCAGTCGGGATTATCCTACGCCGTGGTCAATATTGTATGAAAGCTTCCAAAGTCCAGTGATAGGGGCTTGGCCTGACTAACATGAATATAGGGGTCGTCAAGGTGCCCTGAAGCCGCCGAATTGAATGCGCCGTGTGTCTGTAACAAGAAAGATGTCGTTCGGGATATTACTTCAACACTGAGGAGTGCCGTGAAATACTCATGTTCTAACAACGGAGACGTCACGTCAGCCCAGAACTTCTACAGCGAATTCTGTCGGATGAACGACGGCACAACGTCCTTTGCACCCCCGAAAGGGCCTCCTGGAGATAGTGAGTCTTAAATCATATCTCATGGAGTCATTCTAATGTTGCTATTGTCAGTGTCATACTACATCACAGCCATGCCGCATTTCAAATCTCTCAACAAATGTGCCCAGTCCGGGATAGCTTCTGCAGTTATGGAGGTTAGTCTCAAAGTTTCGATACGCCATCATGTCTCTGATAACAGTGCAGCAAAGCTCCTGGCTATGTGGAGACGGTCCTCAAGAGCTGGCTTCATGCATCTGCATAAAATCAGGGATGTCAAAGATCATCTCTAGCAGTTTGACTGAGCGAGTCAAGGACTACTGCGATAGCACTCACATTGCCAACGTCACATCCGCCATCGACGTCTTTCGGTACTATTGCAGCGCCGCTGAGAGTTTGGTCGTTGCTACAGTCAGCCAATCAATCTTCCAGTCTTATCCGACTGCTAGTTCAGGAGCTGGCCCAAAGACAACAGGTCCAGGAATGACTGGTTCAGCTGGCGCAACTGCAACTTCCAGTTCGAACACTGCGAAACAGTCTGACCCTGATCATGAGGATAAGGAGGAGGATGAATCAAAGACGAGTATCGCACCGATTGCTGGGGGAGTTGCTGGCGCTATCGTGGTCGCCGCTCTCGGCGCGGGACTATTCCTCTGTATTCGAAGAAAGCGTCAACGTCAAGCCAAGGGCGAAGAACTCTCCAATAATGCCGACGGGCCTCCAGAATATACTGGACATCCAGAGCTCATGGGTAATAGTGCTTATATCAAGGGCCACACTGCACCACCCATTGTTTCCGAATTGTCATCGACCACTTCTTTCAAACCGGAACTAGGCGGGGGGCAGGGCATTTCAGAGCTCCCTCCTAACCATGCACCCACAGCTGAGCTTCAAGCTCACCTTGCAAAGTCTAATTGGGGGCATTCACCAGCACAATCAGAATATGTGTCACCAGTGAGTCCTGCGCCAGCATATTCTGGCCTTCACGGAATGGGTTTTCAGTCAGGGCCTGTGGAGGCTTATGAGCTGGATTCTAATATACGAAGTCGATAAAAGGATATTGATCTCCTCTATTCTTGCAATGGCTTCAAAAGCTGGCGTTATGGTTGCTCTTTGGTAACAGGAGTGAGTAATTTAATCACGGGTTGTTGATGGATACCAGACAGATTTCCAGTTTTGATGTTACCAGAAACCTGTAATTATATATGATCGAATATGCTTTCCATTCTCTTTATATATTCGCACAAATTGTAGCCCAGATCTTGCTGTGTGCTCTTGATTTTGAGTGAGATGGATGGGTGAGACTTCAGATTATACACTCATGGGCCGCAGGCGGGTTGGATCGATTAACATAATGTGGTTGCACTTTACAAGAGTAGTCCAAGGTTTTCTTCTTCTTCTTCTTCTTCTTCTCCCCCCCCCCCCCCCCCCGCCCACAAGTGAGTAGGGCAGAGATGCATTAGGAGGGGCTTTACCTACACTGCCTAATATCTGTAGTCAAGACTGCGTGTGATTGAGGCTCGGAGTGTAGGGTAAGCTCGTGGTGGGCGGAAAAACAGGGCGCCGTGCAAACGCAGCTTCCACCTGCGGGTGGCCCGTGCCCGTTGCTTCCCCAGTAGCAAACGTTGGCGTGTTGCATCTCAGCTTTGGAGCTCCAAATTTCCTACCTTAGTCTCTCCAACAACAAAGGCTCCATTTCCTTTGTCGGAGAATTTCATCAACGTCCTACCCTCATTTGTTGATCTGATAGACGCATATCGAAGCGACAACCGACGTGGACTTGGGCTTCTTTTCGATTTGGCTTTCACCCCTCGAGCGCGCAGCTGCGGTAATGACGAGTATCGCGCTATTGACCTGATCCGACCTCGACCATGGCGGCCGCAGACGTGGACATCGGCTACGTCGCAGGCCACCTCGGCCTCGACCAGCCCGTTATCGCGTCTCTAACGACAGAACCGACCGTTGAGCTCGTCAACATTGTTCTACAGGCTGTTGCAGCCAAAGCGCACGAGTTTGACACCCTCTATGCGGAAAAGCTCCAGACCGACATTGAACTGGAGAACGCGGTGCGCAGCTCTGAAACGCGATCGCAAACTTTCAAAGCTACTGCGGATAAGGCCCTCAAAGATGTTGAAGAGGCTAGGCAGCAGCTCAAGGACGAAGGTATGTTTTAACAGACCGTGCGAAACCAAGCCAGATGGTTGTTGACATTCGCTTGCCCCACAGAAACGAAGCGACAATCTCTCGAGAATGAACTTCAAGTTTTCAAATCTAAGAAATCGGATTACGATGCCGAGATCAAGGCCCTGAATGACAAGATTGAGACCCTTCAATCTTCAAACCGAACCAACTTGAGCATTATTGAATCCAACAACAAGCGCGATCAGACTATCACCGAAGAACTTACGAAGCAGCACCAGCGAAATGTCGAACTTTCTCGCGAGATCACTGCACTGCAACAATCGGAGCAGAACGCACGGGGCCAGCTCAATAGTGCCAAGTACCGAGAAGAATCCCTACAACAACAGCTCGATCTTGCCCGAAAGAACAGCGAATGGCTAGAGAATGAACTCAAGACAAAGAGCGAGGAGGGCCTCAAGTACCGAAAGGAAAAGGGTGCCCGTATTGCCGAGCTCCAGCGACAAAATGAAGACATTCAATCTCAGGTTGACTCCTTAAAGAGAACAGAGCAACAGCTCCGCGATCGACTCGATGCCATGCAAGCCAAGGCGGATGACGCTTTGGTGAAGGTTCAGAACCAGGAGGGAACCTTTGCGCAGACAATCGAGAGCTATAAGCATGAGCTTGAAGCTCAGAAACGTTTGGTTGAGATGTCTAACCAGCTGAGCAAGAAACACCAAGAACGAGTGCATGATCTTGAACGTGAAAAGGAGCGACTTCGCGATAACTACGAGACCGAGCTCCGACGCGTTCGGGCCGAGCTTGAGCAAGAACGCCAGACCACGAGTGAGATGGAGGAACGCATTAACCAACTTCAGTCCGAAGTTGACGAGCTCCAGGCTCGTATGGAGCAGCACGCACCGCCACCCGAGTCTGCACCAGAAACCCCCCGTGCCAACGGCTCCTTGATGCGACCTTCCTCTCCATTCGCAACCCCGTCTATGCGAACAAAGGGTACGATAACCACCACCCAGGCCCTTGACCAGCTGTACCAAGTTAAGGGTCAACTGGCTACTGAAAAGCGTCGCAACGCTCAGCTTTCCGAGGAGCTCGACAATATGATGACTGCTCTAGAAGCAAAGGCCCCCGAGATCCAAGATCTTCAAACTGAAGCTGAGCAGCTTCGTGAAGAGATTACTCGAATGTCAGAGTTGTCTCAAAACAGCTTTGAGGAACGAGACAAGGCAAAGCGAGCAGCAAGGAAAGCAGAGAGCGCACTCGCAACTTCGCAATCTGAAACAAATATTCTGCGCACTCAACTTCGAGATCTCGGTACTCAGATCAACATGTTGTTGTTCCAGATCCACGCCATGGAGAAGGGCACAGACCGACTCACTGATGAAGAGACTTTCCGACTCCAACAACTACAGAAAGGAGAGATTTCGGAGGAGGCACTATCAGATATGTCCGACACTCACCAATTCATTACGCAGAAGCTGGTGGTGTTCAAGGATATTCAGTCTCTGCAGGCCAAGAACGAAGAGCTTCTTCGCATTACTCGGGAGCTTGCCAATCAACTCGAAAGCGAGGAAGCACTCGCAGAGAAGCACCAGGCCAAGCAAGACCACGACATGGTTGAGAAACTTCAGCAGGAACTTAGTCACATGACTGAGGAGGCAAGATCTATCAAGAAGACGATGGAGAGCTTCAAGACAGAGCGTGATATGTTCCGAAGGCTTTTGCAGCAACGAGGTGTTCACGGTGATGAAGCATCTATGATGCGCAATTCAATTGCTGGTGGCGAGCGTTTGCCCTTGGCTAGTATTGAGGCAACCGAGCAAACCGAGGCTCTGAACGAGGCACTGCGCAAGCTTCAGTCTGAATACGACAACTACCGCGAGGCGCAGGACGGAGTTCGTAAGGATTTGCGCGATCAGATGGATGCTCTGTCAGCCGAACGAAACAGCCTACAGACCGACAAGGTTAAACTTCACGCCGAAGTCCGCCTTGAGTCTGAGAGGCGTGAAATGTTACAAACCAACTATGTGGCACTTCAAAGTGAGAACCGTGAACTCCAGAAGCGAGCGCAGACCTTGTCTGAGACCGCTGCTAAGCAAGATATTCGGACGCAACAGGTTGCTGAAGAGCTCATTGAAGCCAGAGGTTTGCTTGATAGCGTTCGTAACGAGACTGCGAACCTGAAGGCAGAGAAGAAGCTTTGGAAGGACATTCAGGATAGATTAAGCAAGGACAACGAGAGCCTTATTGAGGAAAAGAATCGACTCAACAATTTGTTAGCAACTCAGCAATCAATCGAAAATGAGCGCAACATGGCTGATTCGGAAGCCCGACGCAAAGCGCAGGCCAAGATTGAAAGCCTCGAACAGGAATTGAGCGACGCCCAAAGAAAGCTCACTTACGAAGCAGAGGAAACCAAAAAGTTGCAACTCAGGAAGGAGTTCGAGTCAAAGGAGTCACAGAAGCGAATCGACGAACTCATGGCAAGCCTGAGCCAGATTCGTGAGGAGCATGTCGCTGTTAAGACCAGCAGGGATCACCTTCAGGCTCGCGTTGATGAGCTGATGGTTGAGCTACGAAACGCTGAGGAACGAGCTGGAAGACTCCAACCCCGACCTACGCCCCGACCTGGAACTATTGAGGTTAGCGAGCAACAGCAGCAACTCGAAAACGAGATCCAGGATCTCAACGTCGAGATCTCCGACCTGAAGCGAAATTTGGACATGGCCAATACATATCTCGAGAACGCGAAGACCCAGGCTGAGCAGTTCAAAGAGCTCAGCCAGGCTAATGAAGAAGCGCTTGAGGATCTACGGGGATCACAAGAACAATACAGACAAGAGATGGAAGCCATCATTGAGGAAAAGGATGGGAAAATCAAGGAGCTTAGCCAGCGTGCAGAGGACTTATCGGCGGAGTTGTCTCGCTCTAACACCGAGCTCTCTAGCCTACGTGACTCCCAGGGTGAGGTTGCACGACGATATGAGGACGAGAAGTCCATATTACAAGAGGAGGTGAACCGACTGAAGGAGGAGAGCGCAAGGCATCTGGAGGCAACTCGCTTCCATCAGCAAGATCTACGTGCTCAAGCTGAAATCGCCTCCAAGGCTCAGCAAGACTACGAGCAGGAACTAGTGAAGCATGCTGAGGCTGCTAAGCTTGTTCAGCAACTACGAACTGAGTACAATACACTCAAGAGCGAGGCCGCATCGCTCAAGTCAGAAGCGGATTCTGCAAAGGTTACCCTCGCTCAAAGCGAAAGCTCTTGGGAGGAACGTCGACAGCAGCTGGAGCAGGAGATGACAGAACTTAAGACTCGAAGAGAAGATGTCAACTCCCAGAACAAGATTCTTCACCAACAACTAGAAGCCCTAACTACACAAGTTGCCGCGCTTCAACAGAAGCGAAGTGGTGGAGAAGAGGAGGACGAAAGAATGTCGCCAGTTCCCCTGGGAGACGCCAGTGATGGTCTACGGGAACTCAACGGTTACCTCCGAAGAGAGAAGGAGATTCTCGAGGTTCAGTATGATCTCAAGGCTCAAGAGGCCAAGCGACTCCAGCAACAACTTGAGTATACCCAGTCACAGCTAGACGAGGCACGTCTCAAACTTGACCAAGAACGCACACAGGCTGCCCAGAGTGGTCGCACTTCAATGACACACCAGGATCTCATGGAGAAGCTCAATGAGCTCAATATCTACCGCGAAAGCAGTATGACATTGCGCAACGAGAATCAGCAACTTAAGGACCAGATCGGCGAGAAAAACAAGAAGATTGAAGAGATGGAGGCCCGTATCCAACCCCTGGAGGCTGAAATTGACACGCTCAAGACTCAGAAGTCTTTCCTCGAGGATGAAATCAAGCAAATCCAAGAGGATCGCGACCGATGGCAGAAGCGCACTGAGGGCATTCTG